TCTATTCTATTCTATTCTATTCTATTCTATTCTATTCTATTCTTCATTCCAATATTCTATTGTGTTCTTCATTCCAATATTCCATCCCATCCTATCCTATCCTATCCTATCCTATCCTGTTTTATTTTGTATTCTGTTTTCTATTCTATTCTAGCCTAGCCTACTCTATTGCTTTATGTAATTTCTTCAGCCGCAAATCACCAAACCCTTCAATGTCATCAGGTGTCCACCAGGGGACGTCCCATCCAAACTGTCTTGCATACCTTTTCCCCCTTCTTCCACAGCCTTAACACAAACCAGCTAAAAAGTGGTTTAAAAACTGATTTGGTCTCTTGACTTATGTTGGAGAGACACCCCCCCCCCCAAGAAGCAAAGAAAGCTTTCTGGAGTAAGCTTACCACATAAATAAGCCTGATGACAATACAACCGTTTGAGCAGGAGGGTATATATAAGGTCTCTTGCCTTGAGCAGGGGGTTGGACTAGAAGAGCTTTGAGATCCCCTCCAGCTCGATGATTCTATGTTCTAAATTGCTGAGTGGTGCATAAAACATACATGATGCCCTATGATGATATTAACTTACCAACTGCACTGCAGTGATTCACTTAACAACAGGCAAGAAAGGTCGTAAAATGGGGTGAAATTCAAGAAATGCCTCGCTTAACGACATAAGTTTGGGGCTCAGTTGTGGACATTAGGATTACCTGTATTTTAATTGCTCACATATAATGCTAAAATAGGATCCAAACATAATGTAGGAAATTAGCACCCACCCGTCTCCTAGAAGAATGAAATATTTTAGGGGAGATATTTTATCCTGCTTTTTTAATATTTCCTAAAACATTTCTCTTCTCTTCTCTTCTCTTCTCTTCTCTTCTCTGGCTAAGATGCTGAGCTTGTCGATCAGAAAGGTCGGCAGTTCGGTGGTTCGAATCCCTCCGCGTAACGGAGTAAGATCCCATTACTTGTCCCAACTTCTGCCAACCTATCAGTTCAAAAACACGTAAAAAATGCAAGTAGAAAAATAGGGACCACTTGGGTGGGAAGGTAGGAGCGTTCCGTGCGCCTTCGGTGTTTAGTCATGCCGGCCACATGACCACGGAGACGTCTTCGGACAGTGCTGGCTCTTTGGCTTTGTAACGGAGATGAGCACCGCCCCCCTGAGCCAGGGACGACTAGCACATATGCGCTAGGCGGGGAACCCTTTACCTTTAAAACATTTCATTCTTCGAAGAGAGGGGTGTTTGGTAACTTCCTACATAATAATCCGTTCCTTGTTTTCCCTCCATTTGAAAGAAGCAACTTGCAAACACACACAAACACACAGAAACACAAACACACACTTTAACACAGCCTTCAATGCATTCCCAGCTCTGAAGTGAAAAAAAACATACTCCCTTCAAGGAACTGAGTGGAATGGGAAGGAAATAAAAAATAAAAAAAATAGCACAGTATATTAACTCCCTATGCAAGAATCATTTTTGTGCTCATAAATTGACTTCAGAAAACCCACCAAGCCCTCGTTTGCTTCTCTCTGGTTAATTGCATACATCCCAGATTTATACGGTTACACTGCTTGTGAAAATACCCCGTTGTGGTGCACTCAAGCATTGCATAAGCAAGCGATAACTTTATCGCAGTGGGTGAATCATGGGGATGAGTGATAGACACCAGTTGATTGCTAGGAAGGATCGCTCCAGTGCTCTAAGATTCTGTCTGATTTCCCTGGGCGTAATAAGCCATTTATTAAAAGAAAAAAGAAAAAAACTCACTTTGGTAATTCAGCAGAGAGAGAGAGAGAGAGAGAGAGAGAGAGAGAAAGAGAGAGCGAGCGCTTGCAGTAATTTAGGAATTTGACGCTGGAAGGAAAAACGCCATTCAAGTGACAAGGATGGGTAAACATTTCAATGTGCTTTCTTGCAGCGAGGTTTCATTTGAATGCCTGTTTTTAATAAGCCCAGAATAAAAAGATCTGAAAAGGGCTTACAAATGGCTAAGTAGCCCTCAGCGTATGACCGGTTCGGGAGGCCAAAATTTCTATCCTAAGGCACGATGGTTGTAAGTCAAGGTGCCCACTTGACAAAAAACAACTTTACAACCCTTTTTTCCCCCCTCCAACGGTTGTTACGCGAACCCAGGAGCTGCAAAACAAATGCTGCAGTTTTAAGTGAGTGCATTCTGGATTTTTGCGCAAAAAAAAAAAAAAAGGCATTGTGTGATGACCCAGGGTGTGGTACAAAGGCAACACAGTCAGATAAGCAATAAGAGCCCCTTTATTACCTCCAGCTTTGCCCCCAATGTCCAGGTTACCTTCAGCTGGAGAAAAACTCTCCGAGGAACAGCCTTTGACTAGAAAATTCAGTCCAAAACAAGGTACACACAAAC